GAGCCATCCCTGCCCCACAGCACAGGGCCCCACTGGGGAAGGGCTGGCCAGGCTCTCCCGTGGAAGGGGTTTTTCCCCGACAAGCTGCAGCACATCCCTGCCCAGAGCAGCATAACCAGGGACAACATGACTCCAGCAGGGTAAAATTCCATGTCTTTCATTTATTCGAGGTGCTACATCACCTCCTAGGCACTGAGCTACAGGGCACCTCTGTGCTACATGAGACATCGACTGGGTCTACGACGACACAGGACTCACTGCTACACACACGGCACGGACACGCCGCGGCACGGATGGGGCCGGACGGGGCAGCGCAGCCAGCGACAGTCCTGCCACTGCCGCTCCCTCCGTGCCACCGGGCACGGCCCTCCCGCCAGGCAGGATTTTGCCCCAGGCTCCATTGCCACAGCGGTGCAGAAGCCAAGAGGGGTCTCCGAAGCACGGCGAGAAACCACAACTGCCCCAGTGTTCCGGCGTCAGGGGACGGCAGCTCCCTGGAGCTGGGTCACCCACACATACGGGCACGTGCACACCCTGTCCCCCGTCTTCAGGCACTTGGTGCTCGGCCGGGGCTGGTCCCCATGGCCCTGCTCAGGGCACCTCACGGAGGCACAGAGCCTCGACGGCGCCGCTGGGGCCCTGGGCCACCCCACCGATGACGAAGAGCAGGCTGGGCGCCGGGCAGCTGGAGCAGGAGCAGCGGCCGGTGGGCATGGGGGGCAATGGCTCCCACTTCTTCCGCGAGAGGCTGAACCCTTCCACCGAGTCCAGTGGGCAGGACTGGTTCCCTGCGGGAAACGGGACAGCATCAGCTTCCCCCCTGCAGCCCTCCCCGCACCCCAGGCTCTGCCTTTTCCCCTTCACGCATCTGTGATGCCCCAAGCATCCCCAAGCCCTGGGCTGCCGGGACTCTGCAATCCCAGAGACAATTAGCAGGGGCACAGGAGAATTAGCAGCGTCCCCACAGGGAGGGCTGCCGGCACTGATGCCGCACTGCGGGCTCTGCCCCCACACCGGCACCCCGCAGCCGTCACCGGGGAATAAGGGAGGGCAGCCCCAGCCCCGGCAGGGCTCGGAAGCAATGCCACACCACAGGGATCCAGCCAGCACGGCTCACCATCCCCATCGCCTCCTCCTGCCCTGCACCAGGAGGTCCGGATCGCCCCTGGTGAGCTCGGTGGGCTCTGGCAGCCCTTGCTGCAGGGGCTGGGGGTACTGCAGCCGGTGCCAGGCTCCCCGGCAGCCCTCCCCGCTGCATCCCCACTGCTGAGTGACAGCACTAACCTTTCCCCAGCTCTCTTGGGAGAGGGATGCGGCGCTGCAGCCCCGCATGGCGAAGCTAAGCCAGCATGGGCTGTGCGAGCCCAGCACCCTGCATGTGAGCTGGAGAAAGGCTGGCCGGGGTGCAGAAGGGGCAAGCAGCTCACTGGGGCAGGGCAGTATGGTCCCCCCAGCACTTAGGGGGCACAGAAGGGACATGGTGGGCAGAGATGAGGCCACGTGGCTGTGGAGGGTGTTGCAGTACCACCACAGTTTTGCACAGCTGACCTGCCTGCCACCACACCGGTCACTGACATGCCACAAAGGACAGGGCTAGGAACACGGTCACACGCCTACCCCTGGCATTACCGAGGCCACCCACGGCCACCACTCTTCCTCCCAGGCAGCCGGCCACGAAGTCAGCTCTCTTCTCCCTCATGCGGATGGCACGGCTCGGCTTGCTCCACACACCTAGGGGGCAAGAGGGTGTGAGCATCGCCCATCAGGGCTCCTCTCTGCACACCAAGGCCAGGGCTAACAGCTCCCCAAGGCCAGGGAGCGCCGGGAAGGACTCGCCATGGGTGCAAGGGGTGCTCAGAGCCTGGATGAACTGCGTCCCTCAGGCATGGACACCATTCACCAAGACCCAGGGAGTCCTCCCGGACCCACAGGGAATGCTCCCACCGCACCCAGGGCCACGGGTCTCACCCTGTGCAGGGTCAAACATCTCCACGGTGTTGACAAAGTGGGGACGGGAGTAGAAGTTGTGGGGTCCTGGCTGTTGCAGCCCCCCGAGGCTGAAGACGACGCCATCGGCCATGGCGCAGGCGGCGAAGGCGCGGCGACTGGGCACACTGGGGTAGCGCGTCCAGCTCCTCGTCTCCAGGTCGAAGGCCTCGAAGGCGGTGACGGGCAGCTTTCCCTGCCGGCCCCCTGCGCACAGACCAGATGCTGCGGCTGCCAGCACCCTGAGCCAGCACCATCTGTGGGCTCAGTAAGCGGGATGGGACCCGCCGGCTGCAGTGCTGGGGTGGGAGGGCGGCACAGAGCCACCCTGGGGTGCACCAGGTCACTCCCTGGTCCAGGGAGGCAGTGGAGGGAGAGGACAGGGGTGCGGGGGGATGCTCGGCTCACCCCAGTGGCACCTACCCAGGACGAAGATCTTGTTGCCCTGCAGGAAGGCGGAGGCCCCGTAGCATGGGGTGGGCATGGAGGGCAGGGGCTGCCAGTGGTCCTTTGCTGGCTCATAGACGCGGACCAGTGCCTGGGGAGAGGTGTCTGCACCCATTCCCCCCAGCGCGTAGACAACCCCATCTGCAAAAGAGGCAGCGGTGGAGTTTGGGGGGCCATGGGCAGTGCCGTGGGGCAGGGAGTCCCCCTGTGCCCTCCAGGACAGGCAGCACAGATGCTGCTGAGCCCCATGGCCACCTGCTGCTCCAGGGTGGCCAGGGGATGGTGAGTGCAACCAGACCTGAGCCCAGCAGTGCCCCGACCCTGCCGGGACCCCCTCGCCCCCATCTCCACCCCATCCATCCGGCGCACAGCGGAGCACAAGGCCATCGGCTCTAATTATTCTCGGCAGTACCATCTCCCTGGAGACACCATGGCAACACAGCCATGCTGCCAAATCCTGCTCCCGCTCCCGGTGCGGCCGGCACCCCTGCCCGCTCCCACCTCTGCCCTGACGGCCCCTCTGCCCTGCCCACCCCTCTGCAGCCCGGGGCCAAGCCACGGTGTCCCCAGACAAGGAACAGATGTGGGCACCACGTATGGCACCAACCCCAGCCCTCAGCCTGCGAGCTACTGGGCTGTGCCAAGGCTTTGAAGCTGCTCAGCAAAGTTTGGGCTGGAATCACGATGTGTTCGAGGCACAGCAGACCGAGTCGGGCTGCAGCAGGGTGCTTGGCCACACCGGCACGGCTCCCAACCAGGGCAGCTGGGGAAGGCTCCCATATCTGGAGGGGCTCTGCTTTGCCCAGCCCTGAGCTGCAACACGGCTGCTGGGGCAGAAGCATGACCCTGCTGTTAAGTGGCAACTTCGTTTGCTGAGTGAAAGCCTCATGCTGCATCCCAAGCAGCAGTGGGATTCAAATCCCACCCGAGCATCCCCGACCGCTACATCCCTGCTTTTCCAGGTGGTAGAGCTACTCACAGCCAAGTCCCATTCCCAGCCCTCACCTCTCTGCACAGCTGAGATGCCCATGGAGGGCTGAGCCAGCGCTGCCTTCTTCTCCCACTTGCCCTCATCCACATGGTAGACCTCGACGGAGGCGAGGGGGCTCTGCGCCGCATCCACGCCGCCCACCACCAGGATCTGCTTGCCCAGGGCGAGGGCAGCGGCGCCGGCCCGTGGTGTGGGCAGTGGTGGGAGCGTGGTCCAGCGCTGGGCCGAGAGGTCGAGCACCTCGGCGGCACCCAGGGCTCGCCCACTGCCCCCGCAGCCGCCCAGCACGAAGAGCTGCCCGTCGCGGTGCGCGGCGCTGCAGTACACGCGCTGCGTGGGCATGGCGGGGAAGGTGGCCCACGCAAAGGAGCCCGTGCCCGCCGCCATGGGCCGGCTCAGCCACCCCGGGGGTCCCCGGGCCCCAGCCCTGCCGTGCCACCCATCCGGCCTGGCTCGGTGCTGGCCCGGCTCTGCCCACCACCTCCTGCGGGGAGAGCACCCGAGTCAGCATCTGGGTCCCCACCGGCCCCAGCGAGCTGGCTCCCCGCAGCAGTGCAACAGCCCCCCGCTCCCCAGGGCTCCCCACCTGCACCCACTGGGGCTCACCAACCCAGGCTCCCCCTCCCTGGGGCTCCCGCTGCACGGTCTGCACCCCCTGGGACTCCCACTCCCCAGGCTCCCTGCCCGCACCCACCGGGGCTCCCTCTCCCTGAGAATCCCGTCCCCCGGGCTCCCGGGGCACAGCCTTGCACCCACTTGAACTCCCGCTCCCCAGGGCTCTCTGTCTGCACCCACCGGGGCTCCCGGTGCAGAGCCTGTACCCCCGAGTCTCCCACTCCCTGGGCCTCCCGGTGCACAACTCACACCCACCGGGGCTCCCACTGCCCAAGAATCCCGTCCCCCGGGCTCCCGGGGCACAGCCCGCACCCACTCGGACTCTCACTCCCCAGGGTTCCCTGCCTGAACCCACCGGTGCTCCTGCTCCCTGGGGCTCCCAGATCACAACCTACGCCCACGGGGGTTACCGGTGCACGGCCCGTACCTCCCCGGGGCTCCCGGTGCACACTCCGGACCCCCCGAGGCTTCTGCTCTCGGCGTGCAGCCCGCAACCACCCGACCGGCTGCTCTCCGCGGCTCCTGCCGCACAGCCCGCACCCCCCGGGCTCCCTCCCGCAGCCCGCACCCACCGGGGCTCCCTCCCGCAGCCCGCACCCACCGGGACCACCGGCTCCGGGCTCCCCGCGCCGCCCCGCAGCCGGCAGCGGGGCAGGGACGGCGGCGGCTCTCACCTCTCCG